TGTCAGAGCCTCTCCGTCCAGCCGCTCGAGCTGTGTGTGGGAGGCAGCAAATTGTCCATTAAGTGTTTCTGCTGAGGCCGAGAGAAGATTTGATATAGTGGGGAAACAAAAGTAATATGTACCAGGAAATTCAATTGTCTCTCTCCGGCAAGTTTGAGCTTTAGTTCGGCTTCCCCACCAAATCAATTTCACATGAAAGTACGAGGTCAGATGAGGTTTAACTGTGAGTCCTTCTCGCAGCTAGTCTCCTTTTACTCACTCCGAGGTAGTGTACAGATTGGGTGGCGATTCGATTTTTGTGTGTTTACATGAAAGAACTTGTGTGACTCAGGCAAACTTCCTCACGTGCTGCCGAGAGTCTCGGGGCCACAATAGAAGGAAACTTCCTCTTCTCTCTCACAAAACCCGATGTGGTACTACAGGAGGTACGAGCAAGCACAGGAAACAATCACCTTCACTACAGTGTGAAGGTCCTTGACCCTAACACAGCTGCAGCTGGCACACGTGAAAGTAAGGGGAGTTCAGGAAGGTGCCCTCCACTTCTTCAGTATCAAGAGACTTCGAGCGGCAGAGCAGAAGTCACTGCCAGGAACCTGTTGTTGCAACCTTACGTACGGAGGTCACGTACGGAGGCCGGGGTGAGGTGAAGTCTCTTGCTCTCTCTCGCTGTCAGGTGTTTGCCAGTCAGGCCTGATTTGACTACAGGGGATCGTGTTTCGACAGCAGGAACCTCCAAGAGGCTCTCAGGCCTCGAGGCTCCGCATCTCTCCAGACCACAGGGCATCCTCTGTTCTCTAAGGAAGCCCGGCTGTTATCGAACCCCAGTGCACAGCACTATCCCGTAACAATGCTAACTAAATCCCCAGTGCAGTTCAGGTTCACACTGAACTCTTAGAAAAGCCAAATGAAGTCATATCAGGCGTGCTTGTATTACTGGATAAAAAGAAGCCAATTTGTAAGTAAGTAACAGTGAGGTATAGCAACTATGCTGTCGCTATATCAGTGCTCGTATATACTGTACCCTCCAAATTACGTCAGCAGCAGAGTGAATATGATGTTTTTGCTACCTAAGCTATTGGATTGGATTATTTAAAAGATGAAAGTAAGACATAACTACAGACCAGCTTTACTTTTTCTTCATGTATTGTGTCTTTATATGTAGATAAAATAGTGCATGTAGCCTCTGTTCTGAAAAGTAAAGCAAATCAGTGTGACCTAAACTTGTATTCATTCTAATGACCTTTCTGGTTGCAAAAAGAAGTCCAGCAAACACTTTAGCAAACACTCTCCTGATGAGTTTACGGTCTTAATCACAAATTATGCAAATTAAGTCTAATTTAATACAATATAATGTTAATTTCGGAAATAATACTCCTAGTTAGAGAAACTTTGTGTGATTTAAGGCGTGGTCAATTTGTTATTCTAAAAGCTGCAAGTACCGACAGCAGTCGTGTTAAATTTGCATACGCCGGTATATTCAGGATGTATACTAGAGCTGCCTCCATTACCGCCTTCTAGCAGGTTGAAAAACATCTTCCACGACAGTTGATACAGACTGGTTATTTTAGCGAGGTCAACGTTTATTCAGCCTGGAGTCACACCCAATGGAGGCAGGGATTTAGCAATTAGCTTTCCCTGCCAAGACACACTGGCAGGCCCTCACAAAGGTGAATTGTCCATAGAGCTGTTCACCTTGGCTGGCATCACAGTAAAGTGCAGTCATATTTTTGTGTCACTCTCACACCTGCCTGAAATAGATCTCCCAGCCACCCAGTCTGGAGTATAGGTCCTGACAGGTCCAGGCTGCGGTTTGCCGATTGCGTTGGCAGGGAAGCTTAATAAAGGATGCCACTCTGTTTAACTAAGCCTAGCAGGGCACGTGTTTTTTGTTTCCCTCGTTCTTTTTTTTTCAGCAGGGGAATATTTGGAGCTCAGTTTTCCACTGTTTTTGTTTGTTCACGAGAGGGTATCCTCCCAGCTTTCCATTATTAACCTGGGCAACTGAAAAAAAGAAAAAAAAAAGTTTCCAGTGCTGTTGAGAGGGAAGCCAGGCCACTTTGCTTTCGTTATTGTAACATTACATGGAATCTTCTTTTTAACAATAGCATATAGCGATCACGAAAGTGGAAAAATAGCTCTCTGGCACTCTTTTTCAAAGGTTACACTTAGATTTACAAGGTTTGCTGATGAAATCTTATAATCCACACTTGCCAGTCCACGTTGTGCAACGGAAGAATTTTTTAAGCCAAATTTCATTTAGAACTAAATGTTCCTCCGAATGCTTGACAACCTTCCCCACTGCTGCATATTTGTGGTTATCTAGTCACCTCAAGGACGGTAAGACAGAGTCAAAAATGTAGTAAAGGAAAAACAGAGAGATAATTCTTTCTGGTTCATTTTTTCTCAAAAAAAAAAAAAGATACATAAGCTCAGGACAGAAAAGTAAAAATAAAAGTCTTTAGCTAAAACTGGATCATTTCAACTAATTTTTTTTTTTTTTTTAAAAGATGCGTGACATGCGAGACCTTTGGTTCTCTCAAAAACATTACCTGTGAGTTTTCTTTAAAAGGTCTTTGTTTCCCAGAACTTGTCACAACTAAATAGTGACATGAGTATTAAGATGCTATAAATAGCATCTTGGTGTTGTCTTGTGGTGCAACAGTTGGCCACATCCTGCTTCTAAAATTCTCACGTCGCTGACAGAGTACATAAATGAAACACAAGGGCCAGTGTTTTACCTTTCTTTTCTCTGTCACTATTTCTTCAGAATGGAACATCTTTGTGCTTGCCAATGGAAAGTATTAGTTGATAAAGGGCATCAAAATAACACTGCAGTTAATATGTGGGAGGAAGAGACGTCACGAATTTTTTCTTTTTCTTTTTTTGAACCGTGACTGAAATCAAGAAAAAGAAGCCACCACTTTTAATCTCAGAAATATGAATGGTATATTTCTGCTGCTGAACCGTCGGGTTTTCCCACCTCTTCTTAAGAACTAGCTGGCGATGTTTTCTCACCTCTCTGTGATCATTTCGTTGTGCATACATGTGCTTGCACTTCCTTCGTGTCCTGCAATGGTGGATCTAAAAATAACCACAGCATGTAAATGCTTGTTTAGCCCGGAGCGGAACAGGGTTGAAAACAGCCAACACTGTTGGCACAGGTTGAGTTTTTCCAATGGGAGTTCCTCCTGTTCAGGGAGGGGAGTCCCAACCAACTTGTGTGTGTGTGTGTGTGTGTGTGTGCATGCTTGTTTGTGTGTGTGAAAAGGTGGGCGTTTGCATACATAAAACAAGGACAGCTATTATTGTAGAGCCTGTGTGTCTTTTAAATCAAACATTATTTGTGTCTTGTCTTGTTTCCTTGGTGGTTCTGCCATTTGATTCTGCATGGATCAGTTCAGCAAAACATTTTTTTATTAGCGCCTCAGCCATCAACATCACACTTTACTGAAATTAAGCAGCAGTTAAATGATATAGTACAAAAGGAGCTCCAAACAAGTTTTTCTCAGTTTTGTTTTTATCTTGATCTATGCTGATGCTTCATAATTCACCAAACAGTACGCAGTGATAACAAACGCAGGCCCACTCTGAACTTCAAAGTGGGTGGACTTCCTGCCTCGGCTCCGATGGTGGTTCCAGCAGACTCAGACTGCATCGGCCTGTCTTATCAAGGCGAGCTCTGTGACTATGAGGCTTCTTGTTTTTGTCGAGCAACAGGTCTCAGGGTCCTCGCCATCTTCTCAGTCACTTCCCTCTGTTTTGCCAAAGAACACAGAGAAGATAAAGGCAGGGGACTGATCTCTGTCTGCCCGACTGTGGGAAAAGCGCGGGCACAGGAACTGGTGCAGGAAACACAAGACGATGACTAAAAACAGGGATATTCGCATGGAGCCGAAATGAGTTGCGAATGACATTGATATGTTTGGACTGTGGCTTCTGATGTCCATGATGTCCTGATGTCAAGTATGCAGTGTAGTGTTGCTGTCTGAGATGTTCTCATGTTTAAAGTTTAAAGAGTTTGCTAATAAGAAAACATTAGAGTAGCTAGGAAGACTTCAGCCAAAAGAGGATTTGCCAACACGTGTAATTTATATTTGACACTATGGCTCTGACCTTCCATCATAACAGAGCAGGTATCCAAGGCAACAGACAGGTCACAGATTTGGGGCGGAGGGCGTTGCAAAGTGGCTTGCAGCGGGAATTGTATGCAGGATGCAGCTGAGTCATGAGGTGATACTGAAATCAGATGTTAGCAGATTATATACCAGGCTAACCTTAAAAAATATGAAAGTATGAACTCCCATATTTTCTGTGAAATGTTTTTTTCTTTCTACACTTAGACATTACTTGTTCCTAACCATGGTACTTTGACTTAATATAATAATTTGGAAATGTTTGATATACAAGCACAGAATTGAAATAATAAAGATCTCAAAATCGTATATGGCGTTAGGAACTGTCGAGATTAGGTAATACAACCCGAGTGGGTCACTGTCTTGTCTTGTAATTGAGCTTTGTAGAAGTTGTTGTTGTTGGGTTTTTTTTCTTTTTTGTGGCAAAAATGAATAAAAACAAAAGTGATCAACTACTGCACTTTGAGAAGTGGTGAGAGACTGATTTCAAAAGCTGCAAAAGCCAATATCCCCTGATCTTCACTCTATAAAATGAGTCATGCCCTAGAAAATAAACCTATTTATTTAGCCTAGGTGATTTCTTCAGGGTTTTACCTTCAGACTTTAGAAAGCCCCATCAAAGATATATGAGACATTTAAAAAGATAGGTATTAACCATGAAAAGTAAGCATAGCTCTTGAATATCACTTGAAATCTGACTGGAGCATCTGGTCCCCTGAGGTTCTGGGGCTCTGACTCCAACCTTTGTCAGTGTTCAAACAAACAACCCTTCAAGGCCAGTATTTTCATGAAATGTAATAATGCTTTAGCGTGTCATTAAATGGGAGCAGTTAATAAAGATCTCCTCTTTCTCTTTTGTTTCCACAGTTAATGAGATCATCAGGAACGACCTCTCCAGCATCTCGGTGCACACTCACGCATAGACCATTTGAGTCTCCTGCAGCAGCAGCAGCAGCACATACACGTCCAAAAGCAGCATCAACAAACGAGGACAAAAACAGCCAGAGATCCAGATTATAAAGAATGAAAGTTTGACCAGGATCTCCCACCTAACTATCGATGCCACCCGCTCCTCGTCAGTCTCAGACTCTCTGCAGGCTCACATTGACAATCACTGGCAAGCTCCATTTGAATAAACAGGTGAATGTTATATTTACAGAAACGAAAAAAGGGAAGTGATATATCAGGGGCAAAGTATACGATTACACTTGCCTTAATTCGCAGCTGATGTTTAGTGGACCAAACAACTCATAGAGACTGAGTTATTTTCTGTCGTTAACAAATGACAATCTTCATTTCGAGTGTGATCTGTACGTTAATGCATGGACAAGCTAATGGGACAATAAGTGTCAAGCTTCATCACTTCGGTTCATTTGTCTGCACAGTCAGTCCGCATCAACCAACTCGGTGCCTTACAGCAGTGCTATTGACAGCAAGCAGCAGCAGCAGTCAGGCAAATGCAAACGGTTCAGTGTAAAAACCCGACTGAAGTTTTCTATGACATTTTTTTGTATTATTTCAATTATTTGTTTACAGGGAAACAAAAAGGCTGGAACATCTATAGGAAGCATGTCAACTGATTCGAATTTTGTTTTGCCTGCTTCCTTATTATCTTTGTTCATTTATACGGAATTTTATGTATGATATTCTTTTGTATAAACATGTATTTGAAAATATGTATGCCTTATGCTCATATCATGCAGTTTGTTATCCCCCCGCCCCTTCCCCTGTCTTTCCCTCATATGATTTTGTAGCATTTCTGCTACCCTTCACCTTTACTTTTTCACCTTAGTGCCTATTTCCTTATCATCCTTTCCTGGTCTTCCAGTTTTCCACCCAGATCATGACATAATGATGCAAGGACAATCAGAGGATTTTTTTTTAAAGTACATATCCTATCAAAATTCCTGGTTTACAGGAGCGTAATAAGGCAGGTATCAGTTTTATTCTTTCCCAGCTGAGAGATTGTTGAACAAAGGTAAATGTACCTGCTGGATTTAAAGGGGAATACTTTTATAGATTTGTCTGTTACTTGTTGCTCTGCAGGTTTGCATGTAAATAGGCACAGGGATAATCTATACCACGGGCTCAGTTTTCCTTATCATCTGGGTGATTTCACTGGGGAGCTGACAGGACTGTTACTTACAGCTGGCAATAATTGATCTGAGTAGACCAAAGGATTTTATCTTTGGTGAAATTATTGTCAAAGTTTCTTTTTTTTTCTGTGACTGAGACTTTAGCATAGGATGGTTCCATCATACGAAAAAAAAGACATGCACTTTACCATAAACACAGAGCTGATTTTCTTGCCTCCAGACCAAATATTGTAGACTGATTTCCACTGTAGTGTCATAAACGCGCTTCTGTCAACTCTTCACATAAACACAGTCTTTTCCATGTCGTCTGTCTTTTGGAGCATGCACACTGTACTGATGTTGGGGATCATTTAGCTGATAGTAGCTTCCAGGATAGCTTTCCTAATACATTTTTCAACATATATTATAATAGCATGACTAAACTCTATCAATAAGGTTTGTATTTTGTGCCTTACTACCTTTCTTGGCTACAAAATTGTTGCAACTCTCTAATGCTTTTCTGTGTAGGCACAAGGTGAAATATATTTCTCTTTAATATTAAATATTTATGAAAAATAATGAAATGTGTTTTAAGTGCATTTAATGTGTTCTCAAAAATGACCTAATAAATGGCATATTGGTGACCATAAGTAACAAATGTCCCAGTGTTATATTTGTAAGTGAGTAAGTTGATTGTTGAAAAAAAAAGTTAACAAATATTTGATAATAAAGTAAAAAAAAAGAAAGAAAAGCATTGTGTTGAGTAGTAGCGTCCCTATTTCCTTTAACTTGTTTGAATTGAATAAAAAAGTAATTAAAACATTCAAAGAAAATTTTTCTTTTAAAAAATTTGTCTCTAAAATAAATTTTGTAAGACTAGCAAAGCACCAGCCCAGCAATTAAATCACTGGACGTCTGTGAGAGGAAAAACTGTGCATTCTAACACTGATTTTTAAATTCAGAGCTTGCAAGTTTTCTCTTTGCCAGCCACACTGCACAGTATAACACTGCAGGATAAAATGCAACAAGCTGCTGATATGCCAAGTACAAGCGGAGACATGCGTATTTTCCGGTGAGTATTGTTAGTGGTGGGTAGTTAGAAGCGAACCAGCTCCTCGTCATGGGATCTGTGCCACGCTCCTGTGTACCACCTGCCAGTCCTCCAGACTTTTTCCGTTCAGCAAAGTTATGAAGCGCCCATCCCCATAGTAACAGAAGGCAGGCCTAGGCGGTGCTCCCCTGTTTGACCGAGGTAAGCCCAAAATAGAGCCACTATTTACAGATACAGTCACGCCCCTTTTTCCTGGCACCCTGTCCTTCTTACCTTAGTCTTCCTCTCGCAGCGCCATACCCTTTGACACAGTGGCGAAATGACTCCGGGCTATGGTTTCCAAAGCCGAAGCAGTGGTCCATAAGAGTGAAATATCAATGGCGCAAGGACAAACGCAGCTTTAGGATCTTTTCTTATCGGTTAAATTTTTGTTTAGAAGTACAGAAACACGAAAATCTTTGACTGTATGATGTGGAAATCAACAATTCACAGCATAAAGAATTTACAGCCGAAATAAGCACCTAATTAACTTAAACAGTTACTCAAAAGTTGTTTCATTTTTAATAAACACCGTACATATAAGCATGGCATAGCTTAGCAAAAAGCCCAGAAGCAAGGAGACACAATCAGCCCAAGGGCAACCAGATCTCATTTGGCAGCATGTGTAATTGATAAATGTGGTGGGGAAAGAGAGTGTATGTGTTAAACACAGTTTATTTCACAATGTGTTTGCTCATCACTCTTAGAAGAGCTGGTAGACACTTTTGTAGGTAGTTAAAAGGCTTCCTTGGGTTTAGCTCTTGATCTGATTTCCTCTGATCTGATTTCTTGCAAGAAGCTGCTATCTCTCCTGCCAGACACATAAAGGGTTCATGTGCATTCATGTCCATTCATGTCCATTCGCTGACCTCAAAGGTCAGAGTTTTATGCGACAGTCACACTATGGAAAAGAGTGGTTGGAGGCTGTGGCATGAACAGATTCATTGCAAACTTGGTTGATTTTGAAATGGTTGCTTCAAAACCAAGTCTGCCACCACTCGCAGTCAGTAGTCTTAAAGCACAAGAGTCACTTTGCCGTCTTCAAAGTTTTGACTTTTTTGGGTTAACACAACAATAAAAGGGCAATAAAACAGAATCTGCTATCACTCTGTCATCAATTAGAAATCGAATAAGGTTGTGATCATACAGTGAATAATCTGCAAAAATTGCAATTCCATTTCCATCTATTGCATACACAGAAATCCACATCCACAAACTACTAATTAGACTGCAGTTATTTCCAAACCTTTTCCAAGAATGACTCAGTCTGAGTCAGATTACAATTGTTTGGAGACCGGTTGGTTTTTACCAGGCGATTGCGCTGAAAGTGATGATCCAGAGGTTAAGGGCGTGACCTGTTAGTCACTATAACTGCTTGCAGTTGTTAACCAAATGCAAAAAGAACATCGACGCAACCGCATATTTTTACTAGCTGCAAGGAGATTTCCATCCTATATTTACAAAATATATCAAATACATGTATTGTATTGTATGTATTTGTATAAAAAAAAACATCATAGCTGCCTCATGTGTATGCAGGAAACAACCCACCTGAGATTAAGATTCGACCAAGTGCCTCACCAAATGATCACAATTTGATCAACTGCTAATGGTACTGACAGGCTGATGTGCTGACAGACAACCCCAGTGAGCAGCAGACGCGCAGCACAGTCTGTCATTTGACGGCCACACAGCACAGTCTGTCATTTGACGCGTCTCTGATGTGAAGTCAAGAGTCCAGACAAGCCAAATGTCAATCCCTGATTATAATGATTGCAGCGCGTGCCCCCCAAAAAAAGGTTAACATGTCCACACAGCCTGGCAGAGGGCTCAGACTTCGAAGTTTCACTATACAGATTTATAGTGCCTTTTTGGTCCCACTTCCTCCCCTATTGTATTCCCAGAGAGCCCTTGATTTGGGCTTTTATAAAGCAAGTGTAAAGGCATTGTGGTGGAGCGCCTGCCCTTGTCTGTCATGAGCCACCTGCAAGCAGTAAATCCTCAGTATACTTCTGTTATGAAGGGCATGTTGAGAGAGCCATGGGGGTGACTTTAAGAGATCCTTTAAGAGATAATTGCTTGACCACATTGAGGGACCTTTGATAACTCTGTCCAGCATTTGATGTCTGTTGGTCTCTTGAGTCAGTTTCTGTGACTTTTTTCGCTTTTATTCGTTTGAAACATATGTCAGATGACTATAAACAGACCTTCTTATCAGTTACCTTTAGGATGATAAAGGAGGAAGATAAGGACCATGTGTGTGTGTGTGTGTGGATTTCAGCACATGTTTACATGTGTGTGAGGCGGGGCCGCCCAGCTCCACAGGTGTACACAAACCCAGTTTTTATGGGATGGTTTCAACATGTGACAGGATCAGCAGAAGACACGCTGACACGATCACATTATTGCGGATCCACAGACAAATCACCTTTTTAAAAGACATTTTAAGAGGTTGCCCAGAAAGGCAACCAGATGGGGCCTGGAAAAATCCTGTGCCTTCTTTTATTTTCCATCTGTAATCATTCAGCTTGATTTGCGCTCACTCTTGTGATGCATGAAGTGTTGTGCAAGGATTTATAAAATTCAGCGACGGGACAGATGCTTGAGTTTAAGACATGTGAAAAGTGAGAATTGTCTTAAAGTGTCTGTTTATACGATCGCATCACGTGGGGACTTTATCCTCCGCATCAAAGTCGAAGCGTTTAATATCACATTTGTAGTTCACTCTGAGAGCTCTGTTTTCTTCGTGGACGAGAAAAAAAAAAGCCTCAAGACATCCGAAGCAATCATTCTTGTGTTGTTTGCTGTAAATGTTTCGATACATATGCAGAATGTTTATGTTGAAGTACGCTGTAGCGCGCATTAGGGATGCTCTTAATGGGCTACAGTAAAAGCCCTTGCTAGTCAGGAGTTCAGGCAGGTGCAGACTCTTACAGTAGATAAAGGAGCCTGGCACTGCAGATGAGTTCACGACAATCACTGTGAGGCTTTTAGACGCCTTCTCCAAGCTCAATCTTCATTTCCCCTGACACTGATTTTGCAATAAGGATCCGGAGAAAAGGGGAATGTCCATCTATTCATTTTAATGATCCCTCATTATTGACTGCTGGCAGGGAGGGGGCGGGCAAAGGTAATGATTCTTTGTCTTTGCTGGCCAATCACTCCTCTTAAAGGAATAAGACTCTAAATAAGGCCACTAATGGATGCCCAGAGTGACCTAAAGCTGACCCCAGATGCAACCCCTGCGATCTGACTTCCCGAAACGATGGACTGTGAGTTTGCTTCTTTAGTTATTTATTAATTCGTTGTTGTTGTTGTTTTTATACTTATAAAGTTTTAAAACGTAAAATTATCAGTAAATGTCTTGCCACAAATTCTTTTTCATGTGTGAATATGAATTTAAACTGCTCCCTAAACTGACATTAAAAGTTACCATCAGAACCAGTTGAGTTTAATTAACCTAAAGACTGAGAACAATAAAAGAAGATGTCAAAAATATTTTTAAAAACTGAAGTATTTTAGATGATATGAACGCTCTTAAAGATTTTAAAGAGTTTTTAGGGATGTATGTTTAGATCTTTCATGGAAAACAACTCTGAATTAAAACTAGTTCCTACAAGTTGGAGAATTTAAGCAGGAATTTAAGCAGGTATTAGTCCGTCTTCAGCTGCTAATATCTGTGTAGTAATCTGGTAAGGATCTAAGCTGAGCTTAACAATAAGAGAGCTAGCCACCATCCCTCCTCTCAAATAACTCAGCATTGCCTCTCTAACCTGAGGTGTCCCTCTGATGTACTTGTTGTTTCTAATCTTGTCCATCCTGGTAACTCCCAATGAAATCTCTTTCTTGATGATCCACATGTTTGAGTTGGCAAAGATTTTATGCCGGATGCCCTTCCTGACGCAACCCTCTCCACTTATTCAGGCTTGGGACCGGCTACAGGAGTACCCTAGATTGTGCGAGTGTTAATTTGTGATGTTAGTGATCATGCTGTTTTGCATCCATGTTTCCAGTATTTACTATTGCTAATCTCCTTGGCTGCTGGTAGATGTGACGTCAATATACTGTACTCACCCAACGTTCAACAACAAAATAAATAAAATAAAGTCTTTGGCCACTAAAACCTTTTCAAATGCAAACCTAGCATATTTACCACAGAGTACTTTTCAATGACTTGCTCATCACCGCATCTCAATGAAAGCAGTACTGACTTTAGCATCTCGGGCATCATTTATGCAAAATTCTACTGTGCATAGCACAGCATCGCTGATAGCACATTACTGAGCCTTTATATGTGTGTGTGTGCACCTCAGCCATTCTTACTGTAGCTGTCATCAGTCTGTCAAGGTAATGAACCCTACTTTACTGCTGCCTCCAACAGCTCTTTAAGGCATACTTCACACCCCTGAAGAAATACACTCAGGTATTAGCTGCTCTGCCTGCATTCTCTGGTAGCTGATGGGTGGGCAGGGATGTTATTAGGAGCATTCATCTACAAGACTCCCCAAGCAATACTATACAGAAACTGACCACAAGACAACCCTATCATCCTCAAAGATTACCTGTCTCCTGCACTGTATATGAATGTTTTATCATAAAAGCTTTCTCTTTTTTGCTAAGTGCCTCCTTGAGTGTTT